TTCTCCCATTAGATGTATGGAAAGCACATTGGTGGAATCATAGGATGAATGTGGATAATACAGTTTTGGCTGCTCGCTTTCCCTTTAAAAAAAAAAAAACTGTTGTATTTTCAATATATGTCACTTTAAGCTACGAAAAGATGGATTATACTAGAGAATCACAGAATATGGATCAAACAGGAAAGGGAGGAAAGTGGGAAGTGGATAGCTACCTAAATGTTATCAGAAAAGAGGCCAGGATTTTCTAATCTCTGGCTCATCTGCATTTCTATAAAGGAATGTAATGTTGTGCATCTTCTGAGAAACTCTAATATGCTTGTTAGGAGGGAACTTCACTGACATGATCAAGATTCTTTACTCTAAAATATGATAACATATGCTAAATTGATTAAATTTATAATAAAACTATAAAATATATCTATACTGTAAATTCTTAGTTAAACTCTACACACCCTTCCAGTAGGTAGTAACTTACCAGTACACTAAAAGTACTTCCAATAACTTAAAACTAGGAATGAAACAGGGATAAAAAAGAAAACTGTTAGTGGAGAAAATGCCCAGTAATTCACAGAAAAAAATAAAGAGATTTAGGATGAATAACAGGGCATTCAGATGTTTGTAAACCAATGCACATAGTAGAGGTAGTATTATGAGAATTTAAATTTATATCATAATAGGGTTAGCATTATCTCAAAATTCTGAGATTTGGTAGAACATGTTCCATGATAAGAATACAGTGATGAAAGTATACCACCCCTTGTTTGAAAGAAATAGATCAAATAGTAGTAAAGGGGGAAAAATATAAGAGAATGATATACCACCAGGAGAGATATCTGTAAACCTGAAGCTCAAAGCTTTGTGCAAATTCTTTGGGTAGGAATTTAAAAAAGAAAAGAAAAACTGAAGTGATATTGTTAGAGGAGGGTATGGTGGGCCATCCAATTAACGACTTTTCTTTGGATTCTGATATACTTCCTTTCTTCTAGCTGATCCATCTTATGTCTTCCCTGACATATCCTCTTCCTCTGCCATTCATTAATGTTGGTGTTACCCCAGACCTCTAGGCTTTGCTCTCACCTATATCTATGAATTTCCTCATTGATTGCATTTTTTTCCATATCTTAGTTCTACCTGTAAACAGATAATTCCTAAAGCTATAACTTCTACCCTAATATCTTTCTAAGCTTGTGCTTCCATCTGCTCAGTAGGTCATAGACATTCAAACACAACATATCCAGACTGTAACTAGATGTCATTCCCATAAAATGTGACCCTTTTCTTCCTACAACCCCATTTTAGTTGATAGCCTTGTCATCAACTCAGTTAGAAGCCTCTCTCCTGACTCTTCTGTCTGTCTACCTCATACTTTCTTTCCATCCTAGCTCTGAAATGTCTTTACTAGCTGAATATTTTCTTCAGTAGAGTGACTTAATTTTTGCTCTATCCTCCCTTGATGACCCTCTTGTGACAGACTTCTGACCAGCTAAATCACTTCCAGTCTCCACCTGCCATCCTGATCTCCTTTTCTGTCTTTCCCCACCCCCAGTCCTGGCCTTCAGACAATGTAGTCCATGGAAAGCCTTAGGTAGCGTTAGGGTGATCACACCTTAGAATTATCATATAAGACATTCACTGGATGAGAAGTCAGCCTGATAATTTCTAACGTTGGGTTCCCAACCAAGGACCAAGGACCAGTTGTATAGTCATTGAGCTTGCTTATTCAAAGTAAGATTCATTTGTCCCACCCCAAATGTACTGATTCAAAATCTCCTGAGTTTAGAGGCTTGAATTGTATTTTCATAGGCTCTCCAAGTGATTGTGATGCACATCCGTTTTTGGAAACTCTAAGATCTTATCCAATTATAAGATTCAGTGATTATAACACTCTAATCAGAATCCAATTTGCTATTCCAAGAGAATAGATACAAAAGTATTTTGTGCAGCCTCATTAAACTAAACTTAAAGCCTTTTGAGTGGTTCACATTCAATGAAAAAACATTCATTTGGACATATAAATTCTGGTAAATTTGTGAAAATAATCACATCACATTAGAGGCATGGCTTATGCACATTTCTTCCAACACATATATCTAATGGGGTTTCACACATGATGTTAATAGGTTGCACATGAAGAGTTAGAGAATATATCTGACGTAAAAACAGTGGTGAATGTTATCATATGCAAAACATTTAGTAATTAGGGTGCTAATTACATTTAGAGAAAAGCAATTAGTATTTAGCAGAACAGTGGGGAAAAAAGGATTAAAATGAAAACCTTTAAAATAAATATTTATATATTTTTTTCAGTTGATTCTCTTTAGCTAATGAAAGAATTCCTGCTTCGTGTACCACACAACATGTTTCCTATATCAATAAGTTGCTATGGACATTAGTAGCTCACGAGCTAGCAGGAGAAACAGACCCCTACAGAATTAAGTAGAGGAGATAATAAATTTCATTGTCATATCAATGTTATAAATAAACTTATGGAAGAATCAAAATAGGAATGATTAATCCCTATTTTCCTGTTGTAAAATAGTCTCTACAAGGAACAAATTTGTAAATATGAACCTAAACTCTCTGGTATACTGTAGTCTCAGAGGTTGAAATCCAACATATAAGCAGCATATGTGAACACAGATGCCTGAGATATGGATACAAGCATATTCATTAGCAATGAGATATTCATTTATTTATAATTAACGATATTATGTAAAATACCTATCTTATACTTAGTCTGGGCTATCCATGTAACTTTTTTTTTCAAGTTAAAAGCACTTTGCTTCAATATTAAGTGTATAGGTTTTAAAAGAAGAGTACATTTGCCCATAGAAACAATTATGTCAAGTGTGCTGAGGATCCCAGGCTAACTCACAAATCCTATTACAGCCGTAATAAATGTAACTATAACACTAATGGTACCATTTGAAACCTGAGGTCTTGAAGAAAGAGACTAGCAAGGCAGAAATTAGGAAAAGAAGAACATTTCCTTTCCCTTTTGCAACAGAGCTACCCTTAGACATATTTTAAAGAACCACATGCTTCTTTGCTATCATTACTTATTGTACCTCCCAGAGTTACTTCCCAGGAACCATTGATATTCAAAGCCGTTTACTACAACACCCTTGATCATGGGATATGGGAAATTAATAGGAAAACCATACACCTATATCAATTAGGATTTGGTTTGGCTGCATATATCAGAAAAAAAAAGAAGGAGCTTAAACAAGGTAAATGTGACATAAGTAGTCCAGAGCTAGTCAGTGGTTTCATGATTATTAGAGACTCAGGCTCCCTACTTTTCTCTTGCAAAACTCAGAACATGTTTTCTGTCCTTAAAGCTACCTTAAAGTCCAAGATAACTACTGGAGCTCTAGCCATCATGTTTATATTCCAGACAACAGAAGGAGAAAGCAAGGAAGGGCAAAAAGGGTACTCTCCAAGATGAGTCATTTTCCTTTAAAGAGTTCTCTGCTTACATCTTATTGGCTAAAACCTAGTAACATGGAACATCTGACTGCAAAGGTTGCTGGAAAATGTAGTGTTTTAGTGCCTCCTCTACCACCCCAAATGAAATTGGAGCTCTGTTGCTGAGGATAAAGGGGAGAATAGATATTTGCAGGCAAATAGTAATCTCTGCCACATTCCTTAAATGTCCAGTGCTCCAGATTACTGAACTCCTTTCCTACTCACTCAATAAAGCTATCTCAATTGTATTTAAATAAAAATCTAATTGGCAGGAATGAGCCTTCTAGAGCAGTAGTTCTCAACTTCAGCTGCACGTTTAGAAGCATTTGGGGTGCCTTAAAACCCTGATGCCCAGGCCAATTAAATGAGACACTCTGGTAGTGAGACCCACGCCAGAGTATGCTAAAAAAATATCTCTAGGTGATTCCAGCGTGCAGCCAAGTTTGAGAACCACTGTCCTAAGAAATTTAAAAAGAAGGCACGTAACACAAATGATGCCAAATTTTGTCACTTTTTTCTGCTGTGTAATCTAGTGATATAAAAAACCACAAGCCACGAATAGGGAATAATTTTGAGAGTGTTGGCACTTCCCATACAGGCCAATTATTTGCCTCTGGGGTCAGTTTTCCTCTATTATCACCTCCTTTTTTAACAGCATCTTCTCCTCTTTAACACTGGAACCATATGATTCTCTAAAAATCCTAACTTTTCTGTACAGTTGATCCAAGGACAGCATAGATGGATCCAGTGTTGGTCATCCTTGATGCCTTTACCTCTCACATACCCCCACATCCATTTAAACACTCTGTAGTGCTTCAAATAATTCTCAAATCTGTCCACACCTTTATCTCATCCAAAATCCACACAGCAACCAAAGGAATGTGTAAAACACACACATAAATCTGACAATTCCTCTGCTCTACACAGATCCCTCCAGTGACTTCCTATTTTGATCTAGGACTCTCTGCCCTGCAAGATCCTCTTCTGCCCACCTCCCAGCCTCATCTTAGGCCACCCATCACACTATTGTACAGTGGCCTCCTTTCATGCCTCCAGTGCCCCCTGGCTCTTTCTTTACAGTTAACCTCTGTTTGCCAAACCTACCGAATCCCTAAACTCACCCAAACCAACACATTTATTTGCTAATTCCGGTTGAAGGAGGCATTTACTGCTCCCCAGACTGGGTCACGATCCATGCTATACTCCTTCATGGCCCTTGTCACAGTTATAAGTAATTCTTTAAAAGCCCCCCCACCCTCAATTATTTTTTTTGAGAGTGGAGAACATTTTCTTCATCATTTCGTTTTCAGAACCTTGAACAGCTCCTATCACAGAGTATGTATTTCATAATATAAAGATAAATATTTTATGAATGAATATATGAAGAAATGAGTAGTATGGGATACTGAGATTAAAAAGGTAGATTGGAGATAAAGTGAAAGGATCATAAGCAGCTGCTTGTAACTTAGGCACAAGTAACCCAAGTAAACATTTCTTCCTTCTTTTTTCAATATATGTCTGTGTCTCTGCAGGTTGTGATTTGATCCCAGTACAGTATCTTCGCTGGGGTGACCCTGAGCCCATTGCAGCTGTGGTGTTTGCCTGCCTAGGCCTGCTCGCCACCCTGTTTGTTACTGCAGTCTTCATCATTTACCGAGATACACCAGTAGTCAAGTCCTCCAGCAGGGAACTCTGTTACATTATCCTTGCTGGCATCTGCCTGGGCTATTTATGTACCTTCTGCCTCATTGCAAAGCCCAAACAGATTTATTGCTACCTTCAGAGAATTGGCATTGGTCTCTCCCCAGCCATGAGCTACTCAGCCCTTGTAACCAAGACCAATCGTATTGCGAGGATTCTGGCTGGCAGCAAGAAAAAGATCTGTACCAAAAAGCCCAGATTCATGAGTGCCTGTGCCCAGCTGGTGATTGCTTTCATTCTCATATGCATCCAGTTGGGCATCATCGTCGCCCTCTTTATAATGGAGCCTCCTGATATAATGCACGACTACCCAAGTATTCGAGAAGTCTACCTGATTTGTAATACCACCAACCTAGGAGTTGTCACTCCTCTCGGATACAATGGATTGCTGATTTTGAGCTGTACCTTCTATGCTTTCAAGACCAGAAATGTTCCAGCTAACTTCAATGAGGCCAAGTATATCGCCTTCACGATGTACACCACCTGCATTATATGGCTGGCCTTTGTGCCAATCTACTTTGGCAGCAACTACAAAATCATCACCATGTGTTTCTCAGTCAGCCTCAGTGCCACAGTGGCGCTGGGCTGCATGTTTGTGCCGAAAGTGTACATCATCCTGGCCAAACCAGAGAGAAACGTGCGCAGCGCCTTCACCACGTCTACCGTGGTGCGCATGCACGTGGGGGATGGCAAGTCATCCTCAGCAGCCAGCAGATCCAGCAGCCTAGTCAACCTGTGGAAGAGGAGAGGCTCCTCTGGGGAAACCCTAAGGTAAAAGTTCTGGGGATGCTGTGAGGCACTGACCCCTATAGCAGAAGCAGTGGCGTTTGCTTCCTGGATCTTTTAAATGGGAAATACCTGAGGGAATGAAACTGTGGGAGGCAGAGTGCTGGGAAAGGGGCTCTGGACATTCTCATTGAATGGTTTTTGTGGGGTTAATTGAATGTAGGCCCAGTTACTTAGGCCTGGGCCAGAAACATGGAAGTTGAGATAAAGAAAAAAAGCAAAGAGTTACAGCAAAAGGGAAGTGAGGTGAGAGGGCAGGGAGAGTACAGTTAAGTCATTGAGCCAAGGCAAGGACCTCCAGGTCCTGAGGGGAAAGAGATACCTTGTGGACTAAATTCTAGTTCACCAGAACAGAGTAGACAAGATCATTGTTAACAAGGAAGATCACGCTGAGGGCAGAGCACCAAGAGCCTCACACATCTGACTACACGTGCATGTGCCTGAACCTTTTCCAAGCCCAGAAGAGCCCAATGTCCCATCCCACAGAGGCACGAGAATGTAGAATTTATATTTTACTTCTTAATGGGCAACTTGGGAAACATCTAAGTAGCTGAAAGGGGCAAAACAACAAGATGGCTTTGCATATAATTTCCTAAACAACCAGCCAGCTTCTCACTTTCTCTGTTGCCCATCGTCCCATCCCACCCCCCAAGTTCAGTACCACAGGTAGTAGTTATTGGACAATTGCCATCTGAAAAGAATCTGAGGCCAACAGCCAATGACTTCCGCTCATGTGAGGGACATCCTTTTCTGATTAATGCCCCCTAAGGCACTTCACAAGGCAAGGAGTTCATCTTACAGCGGCTTGGGAACACACTTGGAGGTACTAAAAAGGCTACATAGACTGTTACTGGGAATAAGGATCTCCTCTGTTTAAGAAGAACATATCAAAAGAGCTAGTCAGGACATCATCTGCCTACTCTATAGAGATTTGACAGTATTCCTAAAATCTAGATAAATAAATGGAAGATAAATATCTTTCAAGTAAAGATAAATAGCTAAATACTATTGCTTCAACAATTCTCTTATATCATCATTTAGCCCACACAAAAAGTCCTACTTTTCTATCAGCCCTAATTCTTCAAAGTCTGAATTATGGTGATGGTAAAGATACTGTGTCTGCTGAGGACTGAAAAGGACTCACAAGACACTTGGAGTTTATCCACATGGCCCAATTCATTTGTGTTACTAACTTGTAGCTTTGCCTCTTTCAATTCTTTTCTAATTCCTGTATACCTCTCATCTCTTTCCTGTATGCCTCTCATCTCTTTCCCGTATGCCTCTCATCTCTTTCCATGTATATCGTGCAAGCTATTCGCCTACATTGTAAACTTCGAGGAAAATAACTGTGTCTTCTACTTCTTTAGTAAATCCTGGCAATGTCACGGTCTAGACACAGAAGGCCTTCCATATCTCTAACCTGCTAGCATATATTCCATCTGCCTTCCTGACTCCTCTCTAAAACATTCTTTTTCTGAAACTTCTGCAAGATCAGCCTTTTATTTTGTCTAAGAAAATTTATTTTTTCAAACTTTTATTTTATCAGCCTTTCTTTAAACTCCTTCAAATAAAATCTTCCAGGGCATCCTCGTAGATAAAACAAACAGGTTTCTGGAGGGATGGATTTGTGAGTCTGTACCTAAGCACCCCAGAAACTCACTAGGGCAGCATGTTTCTCTCTAAGAGAGACAGCATGGATCGATGGTGAAGGGCACTGGCTTTGTAGCCAAATTCTCCTGAGTTTGATCACTGGCATTGCCATTTCTTCTCTCTTCACCTGCCAAGTTGAGATCACATCATCTTCACCGTAGGATTGTCAAGAGTGAAAGAAATAATATGTGTAAAGGCCAGGCACACCGTAGATACTGTATTGAAGGTTGGCGCTGGGACTGAATACTGACAGCATCACTTACCAGCTGTGTAACCATAAGCAAATCACTTCATCTCTCTATGCCTCGATTTCCTCATCTGATGAATGGAGATAATGAAATACAGACTTCATACAAGGGTTGTGAAAATAAATGAGTAAATACATATAAAGTATATGCCATGCAGTAAGCACTTCTTAAGTGTTTGCTATTATTATTAACCAAGTTAACAATTGTCAGTCTTCTTCCACACCTGAAAGTCTCTGTGTCAGGTATGCAATCAGGATCATCTTAATAACAAAGAGAGCATCATAAAAGGCAGTAGAAATCTATAGACACATTGATTACACTCTCTGGGCTTTCCAGGGCATCTCCATCTTTAGATTGCCCAGCTCCTTGCCAGACTGTAGATCATAGCCTTTGTCCCAGTGAAGGCAGAGTAAGCTCTTTGGGAGTGGGAGACTTGTCTTCCTTGCTCATCACTCTGCCTCCAGTTCCTGGAAGTATGAGAAGAGTATTTGGCACATAGAAGACAATAATCATTTGTTGGTATGTTTGTTGAATGAATGGATTTGTGGGGTATTTTTTGCTTGTCTTCAAGTACTACCCCCTTGTGGTTTTACTAACTTTCATATGATTAAGCCTACAGTGATCTGCCTCACAAATACCCCCTGCACTCCTGTGGTCATCTTCCTGTTCAAGAGTCGGGTCATTAATCCCATCCATTGGTCTCATGTTTTGCTATAATTCCAATATTCCTCCAGTAATATTATATTACTATTTTCAACTATTTCATTTCTACTTTAATAAATAAAGGAGCAACATCAACAAAATTTACTGATAGTGCCAATAGAAAACAGGAATTCTCAGGATTTGCGGCAATATTTTAACCTGTTTTCCCTACAGCATCATTTGGTTCTTGATGATTGGACTTTGCAGTCAATACATTTGGGTATTTGAATATCAAAGAGGGTAAGGAAGGACCTGTGGCAATTGTTGGTTTTTCTTGTATGCGGTTGTGGCAAATGCTGGTCTAACCACATGATTATAGCTGAGACAGGCTATAGTCTGGTTACATAGATACTTCTTTTTTGGCATTAACCAGGATATTGAGGCTGGAACCTGCTTTTGATATTGAGAAGAAGAAAGGCCCGAGAAAGCTATAAAACCCTTGCATCACATACATCCCATGCCTGCTCCCCTCTTTTAAAGCTATAATCCTAAGAAATAAATTGATCCAAACTAAAATTCCTTTCCTCTATGACTCCTATGAGCTCTCAAACTAAGTATTTCTTCTCTGTGATCCACAATCAAGATGTTCAGAACATTAATATAGCATTTATCACACTGTACGATATAACTGGTTATGTATGGATTTCTCTCCCCTTTTAGTTTACAGCTTTATAAAGGCCAGTGTGTATCACATTGCCTGTCACACGGGGCTTAAATAATGGGGAACAAGTGAACTGGAGTGCTTCTAATATTTTCACATTTTATTCTAAATTACCTTCATTAATTGTGCTTCTCAGGCTTGAATTCTGTAATATGCTAATGAGCTCATCTATTGGGATCTAACATGGGCTTAAATAGGTAACTTAAATCTTTAGATGTAGGTCTTTGGGGAGAGCAGCTGCTCTGCTGGGCCCAGCCTGGTTCTGCTCTCTTCCATCTGGTGTGTGGAGAAGCAGGCTGCTGTAAGCTCAGACTGGTCTGGGCTCTGTTTCTGAAAAGGCCTTCACATGTCCCTTCCACATGTCATGGCAGACAGCAAGGGCTCCATGTTAAAGAGGACACTAATTGCATACTTTACAATGAAAAATATAATAATATCTCCCAAATTATAGTGACTATGTTTCCAAAAGTCAGTATACACTCTTGGAGCAGTGTACATAGAGACAGTAGATACAAACACAGCATGCTAGTTTACAGTTCTGGCTTTGGAGCCACAGCTGAATTCAAATCCAGCTGTGTGAATTTCAACAAGGTACTTCAATCTGTCTCCTCAACTGTAAAATGGTAGATGATAATTCCTGTTGTGAGGAGTAAATGAAGTGATATGTGTTAAATGCTTAGTATCAGCATGTAGAAAACACTCAATAAATGGTAGATAAAACTTTTAAAAATGTGTTCACCTGCAAGTAAGAGAAAAACCTGATTTTCAGAGACTGATATGATTTTTATGGGTTTCATTTTCCACATGCTACATGAAATCCACAGGTAGACTGTTCCTGGCATTCCTCCAAGGCTCACTCATGCCAGAGCCAACTACCCTACTATTCTCCAGGCCTTTTACTAATGGTTTGCATGATGGCTGCCATGGCTCCATGCATTGCATCCTTTTATTAGGGAAAACAATAGTCTTCTCAGAGTCCCGTAAGAATTGCCTTTATGTCTCATTGGCCAAAAATGTCTCATGTAGCAACCACTAGCTGCAAGAGAGTATAAGAAAGTGTGCATTTCACTTTTACATCTTCTATAATGGAAACTGAAAGAGAGGGGAGGTGTCAAGTGCTTGTCGGATAAATCAATGAATAGTGTCTACCATGTAAAATGGCAGTACCTGGTGGTATTAGTGGTAGTAGTAATAGTAATAGAATTGTCTAGTGGTCACAAAATATTGAAAGTAGAAGCAATAATCATTCCCATTTTTCAAATGAGGAATTTGAGGTCCAGCATGATGAAAACACTTGCCCATCGTCTCACTACTAGTAAGTTATGGAGCAGTTTTTAATTCAGACCATAGTTTTTTAGCCTTATAGCCAAGCTTTTCTCAGAATGTATTCTTTGGAAAGATAGTCTCACAAATTGCTCTATGAAAAAAAATTATTTGGTCAAACAAGTTTGAAAAAACTCTGACTACTCTATTCTTTTATTGGAGATAAACACTGAGAAGTCTTGCAGTATAGAAACCAATAATTCATTTGTTAATTCTTTTCCATCTTTTCCCAAGCTTATTGAATATGGGACTATTTTTTCAAGTAACTCTCTTAACATTCTGGAGAATTGATACTACAAAGGAGATTCACTTTGGATAACATCATCATAGCTGAAAGAGAAGACATGTTTTTGGGGGTCTGAAGAGTAGTTCATATCTTCACTGTGAAGGGGGCCAGAGGG